ATTCTGGGAGGGGGCTTACCCACAATGCAAAGCTGCTGGACTGCCCTGGGAGCTTTTGGGAGGACAGAGAGGATTATGGGAGTGCACTTACCCACAATCATAGAATCACTGAACTGGAAGGGACCTCGAGAGGTCATCTAGTCCAATCCCCTGCACTCAAGGCAGGATGAAGTATTATCTAGACCATCCCTGACAGGTGTTTGTCCAACCTGCTCTTAAAAATCCCCAATGACAGAGATGCCACAATCTCCCTGCGCAATTTATTCCAGTGCTTAACCACCCTGACAGGAAGTTTTTTCCTAATGTCCAACCTAAACCGCCCTTGCTGCAATTTAAGCCCATTGCTTCTTGTCCTAGCCTCAGAGGTTAAGAAGAACAATCTTTCTCCCTCCTCCTTGTAACACCCTCTTATGTACTTGAAAACTGTTCTCATGTCCCCTCTCAGTCATCTCTTCTCCAGACTAAACAAACCCAATTTTTTAATCTTTCCTCACAGGTCATGTTTTCTAGACCTTTCATCTTTTTGTTGCTCTTCTCTGGACTCTCTCCAATTTGTCCACATCTTTCCTGAAATGTGGCGCCCAGAACTGGACACAATGAGGCCTGATCAGCGTGGAGTAGAGCAGACGAATTACTTCTCCTGTCTTGCTTACAACACTCCTGCTAATACAGCCCAGAATCATGTTTGCTTCTTTTGCAACACTGTTACACTGTTGACTCATATTTAGCTTGTGATCCACTATGACCCCCAGATCCCTTTCCGCAGTACTCCTTCCTGGGCAGTCATTGCCCATGTTGTATGTGTGTAAGTGATTGTTCCTTCCGAAGTGGAGTATTTTGAATTTCATCCTATTTACTTCAGACCATTTCTCCAGTTTGCCCAGATCAGTTTGAATTTTAATTCTATCCTCCAGAGCACGTGCAACCCCTCCCAGCTTGGTATCGTCCACAGACTTTATCAGTGTCCTCTCTGTGCCATTCTCTAAATCATTGCTGAAGATGTTGAACAGAACCAAACCCAGAACCGATCCCCGCGGGGCCCCACTCTTGATGCCCTTCCAGCCTGACTGTGAACCACTGATAACTATTCTCTGGGAACGATCTTCCAACCAGTTATGCACCCACCTTCTAGTAGCTCCATTGAAGATGTATTTCCCTAGTTTGTTTATGCAAAGCAGCTGGGCCCCACTGGGTCCCTGGAGTGAGAGCAGAGAGAGGGAGGCAGCTTACCCACAATGCAAAGCAGCTGGACTGCCCTGGATGGGACAGAGAGGATTATGGGAGGACACTTACCCACAATGCAAAGCAGCTGGGCTGCCCTGGGAGAGCAGGGAATATTTGTGGAGGGCGCTTACCCACAATGCTGTGTAACCCCTCACCCCACCCCACCCCACCCCCAGATCGAGTCCCATGAGGACGACGTGAACGCTGTAGCTTTCGCCGACGATAGCTCCCACATCCTCTTCTCTGGGGGCGACGACGCCATCTGCAAGGTGTGGGACCGGCGCACCATGCGGGAGGACGACCCCAAGCCGGTGGGGGTGCTGGCCGGCCACCAGGACGGCATCACCTTCATCGACAGCAAGGTGAGCGCCCCCTGAGGGCTGGATCCCACCCTGTGGTAGAGAGGGCTGGGTGCAGGGTGCTGACCCATCTCTGCCTCCCTCTGCCCCAGGGAGACGCCCGCTATTTGATTTCCAACTCGAAGGACCAGACCATCAAGCTGTGGGACATCCGGCGGCTCTCCGGGCGCGAGGGACTGGAGGCGTCGCGCCAGGCCGTCACCCAGCAGAACTGGGACTACCGCTGGCAGCAGGTGCCCAAGAAAGGTCAGCACGAGGGCATGTAGGAGTGAGAAGTGAGGTGGAGGTAGGAAGGGAGGGGGCAGGAGCCGTGGAATGGGAAGCAGGGCATGAGGGGGCTGGAAGTGGGATGGCGGTGGGAAGTGGGAGGGGAAGTGGAATGAGGTGGGGGAGGAGCAAAGGAAGGGACGGGGACAGGAAGTGGGGGCACCAGGTGGTGTTCGGAGGAAAGCGGGGACAGGAAAGGCATGGGAAGGGGACTGTTCAGCTACTGTGGGGTGGGGCAGGAAGTGGGTGGCAAGAAGGAGGAAGTGGAGTGCAATTGTGGGGAAGGGGAGGCAGAGAGTAGAGGTCAAGGGGGATGCAGGAAGTGACATAAAGGGTGGCATGGTGGCCTTGAGCCTGCCCGCTTGGGGAGGGGGAGCGAAGCAGGAAGTCCCACCCTGGGGAGGGATCTGGTGTGAGTGCGGGCGGGCTCTAACCCTGTCAATCTCCAGCCTGGCGCAAGACCAAGCTGCCGGGCGACAGCTCCCTGATGACGTACCGGGGCCACGGGGTGCTGCACACGCTGATCCGCTGCCGCTTCTCGCCCCCGCACAGCACCGGCCAGCAGTACATCTACAGCGGCTGCTCCACCGGCAAGGTGGTGGGTGAGTGAGGCGGAGTCAGCACCTGCTCCCTGGGCAAGGGCAAAGAGAGGGGGAGCAAAACAGGAAGTCCCACCCACCAGACAAGAGCCAAACAGGAAGCCCTGCCCGTAGGAGGGTGGGGATAGGGCTATGACATGGGGCAAGGCCACCAGTTGGGGGCAGACCCACCAGTGTACATACACATGGTGGAGCCACTGTGTGGGTGGGAGTGGGGCAAGCATAGGGGGAAGTGCCATTCTTGGGGGGGCGGGGGACGGTGCAGAGGTCCCCAGGCTTTGGACTGTACCACTCAGTTCAAAGTGGAGGAGAATTACTGGGAAGGACCATTCCTTCACATGGGGCAGGGGGTGTTTGAGTTTTGGGCAGTACCACTGCATTCATGGTGGGGGAGACTTGGGCAGTACCACTATATGCTGTAGGGGGAAGAGATCCAGTGGAAGATATAGTACCATTCTATGCAAAATAGGGGGTGGGGGCAGCTGACCTAGGACAAGGTCAGGAGGGCTCATTGTCTGTGTGTGTGGGGGGTGGAGGGCAAATAGCATATACCATTGTAGTGGGCTGGGGAGAGGGAAATCTCATTCTTGCTGCTCTGCCCCCAGTGTACGACCTCCTGAGTGGGCAGATCATCAAGAAACTGACCAGTCACAAGGCCTGTGTGCGTGATGTCAGCTGGCACCCCTACCAGGAGAAGATCGTCAGCAGTTCGGTGAGTGGGGGGGGTTCTAACAGGGGCTGCTCTGCCTGGGGCGCTGACACCGCAGGGGGGGTGTCCCAGCAGCGGACACTCTGCCCGAGGGGAGGGACCCCAGCAGGGAGGAGGGGCCTCAGTGGGGGGCACTCTGCCTGAGGGGGGGACCCGGAAGCGAGGAGGGGGGGGATCCCAGCAGCAGACGCTCTGCCTGAGGGGGGACCCTGGCAGGGAGGAGGGGGGATCCCAGCGGGGGGGGGGGGGGCTCTGCCCGAGGGGGGACCCCGGCAGGGAGGAGGGGGGATCCCAGCGGCGGACGCTTTGCACGAGGGGAGACCCCGGCAGGATCCTGGGGGCGCTTTCACCCCTCTCTCTCTCCCGGCAGTGGGACGGCTGTCTGCGCCTGTGGGAATACCGCCAGGCTGAATACTATGAAGACGATCTCAGGGACCCTGCAAACCTCCCTTCGGCTGGGGAGCCCCCCACGAGCTCCCCTGGCTGCTCTGATCAGTAGGCCCCAGCCCTCTGACTTGGGCGGCTGCCCCGTTTCTCAGTGCTTGGACTTGTGGGGACTGCATTGGGGGCGCTCTGGGCCCTGGACACCCCAAAAGTCCTCTGCCCTGGGCTCAGTACCCCAAGGGGCAGTTTGAGGGGAGGAGTCAGTGTCCCCCCACAATCACTGGGGTGCAGGGATTTGGGAATCCCCCCCCCCCCCTGGGAACATTTGATGTGTATTGTGGACTGATGTGTAATTTACTAGGTGGGGAATGGGGCGCGGGGCCTGTCTTCTCTAGGGGGTGCCGGCCCCGGGGCAGGGAATGGGGAGCAGAGCCTGTCCCCTCTAGGGGGTGCTGGCCCTGGTCCGGCCCCAAGGCAGGGACTGGCTGGCTCGGGGGGCCAGGGAATGGGGTGTGGGGCCTGTCCCCTCTAGGGGGCGCTGGCCCT